AACACATCTACAAAATTTATTATGTACAGATTATGTACAGCTTCAATTTCTTTTGCATGATGAAAACCCTATACTTCAGAAGCGTAGTTTAAAATAAACATAACTAGACTGTCAAACATAGCACATTTTTGTTCTGGTGATATATAAGTAGATCTTTTAAAATGTGTTTAACAGTGCTGCAAGCGCTCTACTACCCTGTTCTGCTAGGCGTTTTTGAGTTTGTTGAAATGTACCGTTGTAATGTAGAAGCACTCCAAGGTAAACGAACTGATTGGCTACTTTTAATTCCGTCATAATACCAAGAATAATTTACTCTTTGCCATCCTTTACGAAAAACTACAACTTCTGTTTTATCCTTATTAACTCCAATTTTCCATTTTATACAGTAGACGAATAATTTATCTAAAAGAAACTGTAGAGCTTCCGGAGTTTTTCCAAATAGCACAGTATCATCTGCGAATAACAACAAATATATCAAATAACCATTTAAGTTTATGTAATCACTAGTTCTATTATCATTCATACGTAGATCATCAGCAATGTCATTTATAAAAAAAAATATGAAAAGCAGAGGAAATAAGGGTTCTCTCTGTTTTACGCCAATATTATTGGAAAAAACATCTGAAAGTGATCCCTCGCATTTAACACGAATATTAACAGTTGCATATACTGATTGCACCATGAAAACAAACTTGCTACTAATTTCACTATTGAAAAGCTTATACCAAAGTATGCGTCGGTCGACATTGTCAAAAGCCTTACAAAAGTCCACGAATGCTGAATACAGTTTTTTTTCTTTTGTGAAAGGGTTGTTGACATTATTCCATGAAGAATGAAAACAGCATCGACGGTTGATTTTTGGCGGCTAAATCCAAACTGGTTTGCTAAAGGAATCTCGTTATCTTCGGCCCAACTTAGTAGACGATTATTCAAAATTGAAGTAAACATCTTTGAAAATACACTAATCAATATAATTGGCCTATTGTTATTAGGGTTTGAAAAATCCCCTTTCTTTGGTACAGGTATAGCAATTCCTTCTATCCAATTATCGGGGTATATAAATAAAGGCAACAGTAGTATACCGCTGTTCGAAACTCATAAATCGATAGAGATAAAAACAAATCCAGGTAACAAACTAAAACTGAGGGAAACGCATCAAATATAAGAGGAGAACAACGACACAACAAAAACACAACATTAAAATGTAACACACACAGAAACGAACTATGATATAATAATGGCCATTTTCCTGACTTGGTACAGGACATTTTAAGAAAAAAAAGGTGGGTTGAACCTGGTTTTTGTGGCATGCCAAACCTCCCGCTTTTATGGCAACGTCAAACACAATACCAAAACTACAACATCACATGACAGGACCACAATACAAATAAATGGGAGAACATATAGGACAAAGAAACACACGAATAATAGCTAACAAAAGGTACTAGGCTTAAAATTCAATACGCTAGACGTGCGTCTCGTCCACACAAGACCAACCAGTGACGCTCAGATGAAAAAAGTTTGAAAGCCAAAACAAGTACAAAGCTGAAGAGCACCAAGGACCAAAACTTCCAAAAAGTTGCGCCTAACACGGCCAGAATTTTCTGCCTGGGACAAGAACATCCTTATCATTTAGAATAATTTATAATTTTGCAAACAGTAAATTTTATAAAATGACTATATAATAGATATACATGATAAAACCGAAGTGGGGACTAACTATATACTAAATTCAAAATTTTATTAAAAAAAACTGTTAAAAATGTTGAAAATAGCTGAGAATCTGATAAAAACATTTCTCCACTGATTCCATCTGTTCCCGTACTTTTACCACGCTTTAGTTTTTTAATAGCAGATTCAATTTCAGTTTCAGTAAATTCATTATCTAATACGTCTATGTGAAGATCTTTAGATCGAATGTTGACTATTAAAGTTTTAACTTCTACTGGTAAATCATCAGGTTCCGCACCAAGAAAGTTTTTAAAATGTTCAAAAATGTCATTTGCATCGGCCGCGCATCACGATCGACCTATAGGTCTATCTTTTGACCAAAATTCTCTAGGGTTCACTTTAGCCAGCCGACTTAGCTCCTGTCCACGTGTACGTTTATATCTTGTTTTCGCTTTCCGTTTAATTTTGTTGTATTTGTTTCTTGCTGTCACACATAATTGTCTATTGGGACTGCTTGGGTAGCGCTGAAAACGGTTCCGTGCTTGGTGAAATTCAATTCTTTGCAGTTTACATTTGTGATCATACCAATCATTAGTACTAAGTTTATGTTTACTTATATTATTTTTAACAGATGTTTAACCAAAAACATTAAGCGCACATTTAAATATAACATCGGTAACCACATTTACGGCGTGGTTCGTACTTTCATTATCGTTTATGTTGGTTACTAGTTCTATCAATTCAGTTTGTTTCTCCCGTAATGCTTGCGTGTAATCGCTAACTTTCTCATTGTCCCACTTTATATAATGGTTGGAAGAATGTTCCTTGTTACACGTTAAATTAGTCTGAATTTCATAAAACAAAGGTGAATGGTCAGAAAATTCATTATGTTCCAGAACTTTAAAATTCTCAACCAATTTATAATCAATTGGAAAAGTTAACAGACAATCATTCACACTTCTTCCGTTTGAAGTACAAAATGTGTATTGTCCAGTCAGATCGTGTTGTAGCCTACCATTACATATAGTTATTCTCGTGTTATGACACATTTGGACAAGATTTCGACCAAACCTTTTAAACTGTTGTATCCTTTGAACTTCTTGGCGGAGTATTGGGATTTTCATCATGCACTACACTGCTCACATCTATCTAAATGATCAAAATTTAAAAAATCATCTAGTAACCAAACTCTACTATTAAAATCACCACAAACAAGTATACTTCCTTTTTCTTTATACGCAAAAACAATATTTTCTATTAATTCAAAAAAGTCACAGTCATTTACATTATAATATGAAGACTTCTCATGGGGTACACAAAACATATGTAAATATCAGTATCATTTTGAAAAAAAATCCTTTTTTAATTTTATCAATAAAATACCACTTTCAATTTCCTTGACTATTTTAATACCTTTCATAATATATGGTTTACAGTAAAAGCATATTCCACCCTCGTTTCTAATCCCTATATTATTACATCTACCAAACGACGATAAATTTTCAAAATTATTTAATTGTGGCTAATAACTGCCCTTTAACCATGTTTCACATAGAAATAATAAATCATAATCATTAACAAAATTTAGAAAGTCATTGTAAATTTATAGTATTACAGTTAGGAATCTTTATTTCTATTTCCTTCTATTAATCTGTATTTTTTTCCTTTTCGTTTTGTGCCTTAATTATACCAAGTTCATAGTTCAAGTATTCGCTTCGGTTAACCCTTTGCTTTTCTTTTCTTTTTTTTTATTTAAGAATTAAATGCTTCTTTTTGTAAATTTATTGGGGCGTAAAAGCGTTGACCGAAGTACATTATGTATGAAGCGCTTCCGCTTCATTCTAAAAATGTGCACACGGTCAACGCTAGCTAGCGCTTTTACAACCCTATAAAATTACTAAAAGAAGAATTCAATACTTATAATTACATTTTTTTGCTAGGATCGTGAAAACACGATTTCTATCAACTTTTTCTTTTATTTACCTGTGCACTTTATTATGGAAGGTCGTGTCATCATGAATGTTACATTTCATTTTGAAATGAAGGGTAATTTCAGAATGACGCGAGATTGCTGTTAGCCATTTAAAATAACGTATTGTAACGAAACATACATGTAATGTAATTATTTACTTTTAAAACGTTTATTTTTATATAGATTTACGACCATTAATGCTAAATTATCTCATTCAAAACACTAGTTCTAAATCATATTAGCTGGATTTTCCCCATAAGTCATATTTAAGATAAAGAGGATTAGATAGTAAAAATAATTACAGTCTAGGATAGATATAAGAAAATGTGGTATGAGTGCCAATGAGACAACTCTCCATCTAAGTCAAAATTTATAAAAGTAAACCAATATAGGTCACAGTACGGTCTTCAACACGGAGCCTTGGCTCACACCGAACAGTAAGCTATAAAGGGCCCCAAAAAATTACAAGTGTAAAACCATTCAAACGGGAAAACCAACGGTCTAATCTATATAAAAAACGAGAAACACTTATGAACCACATCAACAAACGACATCAGATTCCTGACTTAGGACAGGTGCAAACAAATGCAGCGGGTTTAAACGTTTTAATGGTACCAAACCTTAACCCTTTTTCTGAAACAATAGTGTAACATCACAACATAGAAAGACACACTATAAAATATCAACTGAAATAGCTTAACTCAATCTTTTATATGTTTTAGTTCTGGTCTTAATGTTTAATCAAAAATGTTTTAATCATAATTTGATTATGTTTAAGCAACGATGGAAATACACTTCTTTTTGTACTTACCATGATCAACATGACAGGGGCCACATGAGGAACAGGATATGTTTACCAATCCGGGATACGAGATATCACCCCCAGTTTTTATTTGGGATCGTGTTGCTCTAGTTTTAGTTTTGTTTATGTAGTGTTTTGTAGATTGTTTGTCGTTTTTAGTTTTTTGTCAAGGTGTTGTCCATGTTGTCTGGTGTTTTATATTTATATCCAAAAATGTTCTAGGGTAAAACTATCCAAAATGTTCCAGGGTAAAAATATAAAAGTTTGTTTTAAAAAAAATAGAACTATTCAAAAACAGGTGATGGTAATAAACTAAAAATAAGAAACAACATAGAAATACAGAATTCGACCTAGAACAAGTTTTAAAGCAGAAAATAAAACAACTATATAAACTAACAGAAAGAAGTAAAGACCGTCAAACCGATTGAATGGTTGGGATTTTAACTATTATTAATGACCAGCGTCGTATAATTGACCAAAAGGTTAATGTTATCACATCTTATACTAATTACAATTGCGAACAAAGAGTAAAAAATCAAACGATAACTGATGCAAACCAATATACATTTATTCGTATTTTATTTCCGGTTCACTAATATCACTGCTACATGTTCGTTCATCCAGTATTTCTCAATTCCCAGTGACGCTCTATTCAAGAGATATTCTAATTGTTCAATAGTATATTTGCAGCTTATCCCTTCCTCTTCGTGGAGGTACAATCGTTCTAGGTATGATAAGTGTTCATAGCTCCCGAAACTGCTAAAATAGAACAATTCATTGACCTTTAAAAAAGAATTAAAATTATTGATACACATATAATTGGATGATATAGTTTAGACACTCTAATGCAGACATCGCATATATGTCACTATATAATTTCTGATGTTAAAGACATAACATCGACATATTTGACACAGAATGACCTTTTTGTATTGGTAAAATGATATATTTTTGAGTATTGCAATGACTAAATATATATAATCATCAACAGATCTCAACATGAGGCTATTTTGGGCAGTTTTTGTAGTTGTAAACAAATATAAGTATGTAAGACACAATGAAACATAACTATTAATATCTGACAGACTAATTGTCTTATGCACTTCTGCAGTATGCTATACTATTTGATAGATTATCATAATGGCCTATAATGCCTCATAATATCTTCTTATTTTACAAAACATTAGAAAATATCGCACAGAGGACGTGCTCTTCTCCTAGAAATCTGAAAAATATCTTCTTTTTTTTCCATTTGAACGTCCAAAATTTGTTCGCTTTGCTCCGCTCGGCAACATTACTGGCGTTGCGCCCCATTAACCTGGATCCTCTCTGTTGTTCAAATGTTTATATTATATAATATATGCTCAGTCTTATATGATTGGAATTACGAACACTGAAGTTTGCCATTCAGGTTTGCCAGAATATATTATTAATTATATTCATCAATATATAAACACGAATATCATGACCATTGGTTTACGTTTAGCTTAAAATGTCGTTGACCTTAACGCGGCATATAAACAGGGCCTACAAACCTTCGAATTTAAAACCAAAATGATCTGTAAAGTTAAAGCATATAAATATTTGTCATACCGCTAGTTAAAAACTGTAAAAAAGATATGTTTCATTTTTGACGTAAAACGCGTGCATGTCAAATGTTTTTGACTATCCTTCAATTCTGAGTTCTTTTGTAACTTCATAATCTAACTTTTTTTATTCTTTATTTATTATTTTCTCATTGTTTTTCTTTTTTAACCATGTTAATGAGTTTGAATCCCGCTTAGAAAACGATATCGATTTTGTTGGTGCAAACATACAGTTCATATATTGTTGGGGTATATTTAAGACATATAGAACAATCCCTGCGTAGGTTGCACTTCTGTTAATATAGACAATGCAATTTCCCATAGGAACTCCCTTAACGGCTAAAGCTGTGCAACGTTTACTATGAAGTTTCGTAAAAAATTACATCTTAGAATGGAAAGTTGATATGCACTACTATTTCATTCAAAGGTCAAATCATAGGGCTGTGCGTCATATTTTCAACATATATGCCCCGAAATTCTAAGAGTTTAAACTTATACTAAAATTCTGTACTACCCCTCCCTTCACTTATGGTCTTCCTCAGAATTCAATTTTTGCTAAGTGTATTTATACTGGTAACATTCCAGAGTTATGTCTCTTTCAGATTAAATATAGATATCATATCTGGGAACCAATACGTAAACAAAACAAAATATCTATGAATATTATATATCTCCCCAAAAGAGACATGGTTTGTGAAACAGCTGTATTTACAAAGTGCAACCTATACTAACATTTGTTCAAAAAGAAAAATCTTGAAAAACACTTTTTCTCACAACAATATTTATTTATCAGAATCATAGCCTTAAAGAATCACTTCATATACTCTAACTTTTCTTTTAAAGAACATTTTTTACCCCCATCCCTGTTTCAATTTTTAAAGAATTTGAAAACAAGACTTTAATTATTGTCAGCCTACCCTATGTGCATGTTTTCTTACATGAACTGTCTAGAACCTTTTTGAAACTATTCTGATAACAAATTGAAAACATTTCAGAATACTATAAATGTTAAGTTTAGTATTTAATTATTCCAACATTCAAGATTATATAAAGTATCCAATCCTGCCTCTGTCTCCATTCCACATCTTACTGTATGCCTATTTTTCAATAAAAGCTCACAATTTCTGTCTCAAATGGTCAGTTTAGAAATCGTGTCACACCAATATTCCCTCTAACCATATATCTAACATAATTTTGCTAATATATGAACTTGAAGTGTTTAAACAAAGCAATATTTGCAAAAGTTGTAAGTATAAAGTTACCAGTCTGACTTATGAATTCACTAAAAGTTTTATAGAACCGACTTCTAACATCTGTTTTTTTGCATAACTTCCTAGCACAGTTATTGTTTTCTATACAAAAGACCTTTATAATAATAAAATCATAGTATTTACAGGTTAAATTATCTGTTTGATGACCCTGGGGTAAGGCATTTTTCTGTGTTTTTTTTTTGCCACTGGGGCCTCAAATTTGCTAAATAATTCTGCTGTTTCTGTGAATATGGAATATTTAGTACACATTTAGGATAGAACACACTATTGTTAGTTTTATTGAGGTATTTTGGGGTTATCGACGGGACAAAAACACCCTAACAACAATATTCATCAAGGATCTATGAGATTCTATGACCGCGAAGAGTAAATATAAGCACTTCTAAACAATTTAAATTACAAATAATCATACATTATGAATTCACTTTGCATACACGACTTTAAGTAAACTATGCATACTGTAAACTGTGAATTTATGTTGAGTCACCAAAGTTAAGGACCAGGATTTTCTCAATCTTCCTGATATATTTATAAAACTTTATAATTGAGTTAATTTTATTAAAATCTCTGAAGATAAACAAGGTTTAGTGAAATTCTACATGTTCCCTGTTTTCACCCAAATATAGGCATTGTCTCGATATTAGAATGTTATTGAAGTGGTATTACTAGATTCTTTACTAAATATTTGTATACTTCCAATGTTTTGAACATGCTTTTAATGTGGAGCTCTCTTGAAAATCATTCCTTTCTTTGTCTCGCGAGTCTTGTTGAAGGATTAATATTAATATTAATATGTTTTGGTTCGAGCGTCACTGATGAGTCTTTTGTAGACGAAACGCGCGTCTGGCGTAAATATAAAATTTTAATCCTGGTATCTATTATGAGTTTTTTTATAGATGTGCAAGTGCAAACAAGCATGCAGTCCTTACATTGTTGAACTTAATTTAAGAGGTAAAAAGTACACTATTAAAATTAATGTACAGTCATTGCCTCGTTATAAGTTTTTACTTTCTTCATGTAAAATTTTATTCGTGTCAAGAATCTGAGGACAAGTTTGGGTCTTGAATTCCGATTATCTTTTTTCTTTCCTTTTTGTTTCCAAGTGTTTGTGATATGCAACGTTTCAAGTAGCAACTTTGATATACACATTACTGCCGAATTCAAGTTGCGTTGCCTTAAATACAGCCCTTGGATGGTGTAAACTTCCCCAAAAAACGTGTATGGTGCTATGGTGTATGGTGTAAGGGGAATGGTGTAATGGTGTAACGTGCGATCTAGAATGGTGTGAATGAATGGTGTACAACATTTAAAACTATGCAACATATTGATAAGAACTGATTTTTAATTTTATACATTAATTTACAATATTGTGATCAAAATTCGTTTTTTGAAATAAATAAATAATTTCGTAGTCGCACTCTTTCTTTGAAATTAAATTGCATAATGGTGTAATTATTGTAAGGTGTATGGTGCAAAGGTGTAACGTGTATGGTGTAATGGCACAGGGTGTATGGTGTAATTGTGTATGGTGAATGGTGTAATGGTGTATGGTGTTAGTGGGAAGTTTACACCATCCAAGGACTGTAGCACCTGTTAGTAAATACAAACGTATTCCCTTTCAAAAACGTTAACGTTCCTGGGCACCTAAGATCACACCCGGTCATTAATGGGGTCCGTGTTGTTCAGTCTTTAGTTTTTCTATATTGTGTTTTGTATACTGTTGTTTGTCTTTATGTCATTTTTCGTTTTTTGCGATGGCATTGTCAGTTTGTCATCAACAATTGAATATCCCCGTGTTATCTTCCGTCTCTCTTTCAGAAATTTCATTGCGCGATGCCGAGTTTCTGGATTAATATTCAGCGAGAATGCTTGATGATAAAAGTTTGTGAAGTTAAATAAAAAAAGTATGGACTTATCAAAAGCCAATTATGCATGTGGGATTAGCAACCTTAAATAATGATTACAATTACAGTTTCTGATAATAGGGAGAAACATTATTTTTTTCAATGGTAAATTGAAAAAAAAAAAACAATCAAATCTATAAACCGACTTACTAAACATCATGTCAAGACTAATACAGAGTATATTGAGGGTTTTCTGCTGAGTTTTAAAAGTTTTTCACTGAAAAATTGTTGACGACAAACCAAATTTAGTTTCTTTATTTGTTCAGAGGATTGACAATTTTTAAAAGATGTGAGGTAAATAACAGAGTCCGCAAATGAACTTTCAAAATAAGGTGTCAAAGTACATGTCTTCTCTTGTACAGTTCATGAGCTTGAGCAGGTGCATGGATTTGAGGTGTGCTTAGCAGTTATAGCTTTTAACACTCTTACACTATTCAATCATTTAAAATATAGATGTTAGAAAGACGAAAACATATTTTTTCAACAGAAACATTACTCTTCGACTTTGAAACAAAATAGTTGTTGCTTCCTTTATAAGAATGTATGCTAGAGAGTGTCATTTTACTTCAAAATGAATTTTGAATATCAAATAATTTACAAATGAAAAGAAATAATTTGACATATATTTCCCACATACAAAAACGTCAAAGAACATCGGTTCAAAAAAATATTGCCAATGGCTCTAGATTCTAGCTGTCTTTTTAAACGAATCGATTTCTTTTCAATTAATCTCCCGAACTGACAGCTTTATGTATTCACATGAATATTTATTAAGGTACTCAGAAAGATATTTTGCGAATGAATTTGCCGGGACTGCTGACCCTTACCGAGCACATGAACTCACCACCGGTTTTTAGTGGGGTTCGTATTGCAAAATGCTTTGTTTTTCTGTGTAGTGGACGTATGTCTTTTAACCCCAGGTTAATATGCCATCTGTGTGCACAATGTTGTCATATCTTAACAGGTTTTTGCAAAATAACGTTGTTCTTCTTAACTAGAAATATAAACGAACTTTTATGTCAAATGTTTTATTTGCAAAATGTATTTTTTTGCATTTTATGATTTTGAATAAATGACCTTTTTTCGTCAGTTTAGTTTTTATATCATACAGCAAATCAAGCTCAGACTCTGGCCTGTGTATACATAGTATGTTTATGGTATCTAGCTGTCTGTCTTAAAAGGATTTTTTACTAACGCTTTGCTTTTCCTACTACAAAAACAAAATGCATTCATATAATAGGTTGAGGCATAGATTATACAAAATGCTAAACATTTTAACAAGGCTCATGGTATATACCAAAACATGATAATAGCGATCTGCTGAAGATACTGAATTGCCAACAGTAAACAAAACATTCGGCCAAATATTTGCAATCTTTGCACTTTCTGATATATCTACTGAATTTTTTCAAAGTAACTACAGCAGATCTTGATCCAATCTAAGTGATAATTCGCTAGATTCAGCAATGCAGTAGTTGTCGTTGGTTGCTGTCTGTCGTATTTTTTATTATTGTTTTGTCATAAATCAGGCCGTAGTTTGTTCGTTTGAATTTTTTTCACATTTTATCATGTTTGGTTCTTTTATAGCTGACTTTACGGTATGGGTCTTTCTCTTTTTCAAGACTATATGGTGACTTATAGTTGCTTAAATACACATCATTTAAACAAAATATACAAGTTTATAAATAAGGACAAGAGCATGTCAAAAATATTTTAAGCCATGTACTAAAAACGACTGAAAACAAAATTCGTACAGACTTGCACAAAAACTTAAGTCATATTTATTTTATACAAACCTATGTGAACATCACAATTCTCGATTGACTCTATCGACACATTCACGTAGCTACAATTATTTGACCTTGAATTCACAACCAGTTCATCCTGAATTTTGAACTTTGATATCTCAATATTAGCATTCATTTCCCTGTTCATGCAATGGATGGAATTCAGATGAAAATTTTCGCATTATCCTGCATAAAGAATATTTATCACAATCAATTTTGAGAAGATAACTAAAGACTAAAACAAAAGTGCATTTAAGACATAACAACGTTTTATATAATTATTTTGTTCTAATATGATAGATTTCATATACACAATACTAGTAGTAGATTGTAGCTTGGTGTCATTATAAACTGGGCAGTGTTGCCAGTCAAAAAGGGGAAATATTCAACGAACCAGCATGCAGTGGCGAACGACAATGCTGCAATGTTCCTTTTTACGAGATTTAAATTAAAAGTGAGCAACTTATTTTATACGTTCAGGGACAAATTGTACAATATCAAAAATGTTACATAGAAAAAAAAATCAAAGATTTGACATTTATATATATGTTAGTTTAACCATAATTGTACGTTACGTTAAAGGTAAGAAAAAAAATCAAAAGAGGTTGGAAATGAGATGTGGTAAGTTTGTGTACTGTCAAACGCATGGAGACTTATATTTACCTTCCGGATCTAGGTAAGCAAGCTCTATCGTCTGTTTACAAGTAGTGTCTGTGACATCTAATGTAATCAATAATTTGTCTTCGACTGCAACAAAAATTTAACAATTAATTTGCATCAGTAGTTCTGTAATTGAATGAAATGAGTTGTGTGGTATAAAATTCCAATATTACCAAGTTTAGGCGAGGTGCAACCTCAAAATTATCCATAGTACGAATTAAAACAGTTGTGAATAAATTAGACAGAAGCTATCAGAGATTTGCCATGAAAAAGAAATTTTCAAAATAACAAAAAAATAAAGATGTAATATAAGACCCCATTGACGAGGTAAATGATGCAGGGATGTAACATGCATACATGCCCGCTTCCGTGTGCAGGATTATTTTGCTGCGTTGAAGACCCATGTGTTACCTTAAGCTGTATTCTGCTCTTTGGTTGGGTTGTTGTCTCTTTGACACATTCCCTGTTTCCATTCTCTATTCTATATATGTATGTGTCTCCAGGGTAATTATATGTTAACAAGTATTGATGAAAATGTTACACCAAGATTTATTTAGAACACGGTGTGTAAATATGAAGAGTCTTTCGATTGACAATGCAATTTATGACATTCTGGCCAGAACGACTCGATGCTGTTTTTTTTTCTTCTTTTGTGGAGGTTAAAGCGTTACGCGTAGATCATCATCATCAGCATCAGCATCATCACATACAGCAGCAACAGAAGCAGCAGCAACTGATTTTTTATTGGTTGTAAGACGAATGACCTAATTCCGTTATATGTTACCAATTTATTTACGCAACCCCAAAAAAATTATCAGCCTAATCACCTAATAATTTATCAACGTATTGTATACACGACGGTTGTCGCATGTGGAACAGGATCTGCTTACCCTTTCGGAGCACCTTATAGAACATCTTTTTTGTGGAGTTCGTGTTGCTCAGTCTTAAGCTTCCTATGCTGTGTTTAATGTGCTGTTGTTGGTCTTTTGTTCGTTTTTCGTTTTTTGCAATGGCATAGTCAGTTCGTATTCGCCTTATTTTATAAGCTGTATTTATCAATATAAAAATAAGGAGATGTGGTTTGATTGCCAATGAGACAATGATCCACCAGAGTTCAAATGACTTGGATATAAGCAGTATTAGTCACCACACGGCCTGTTAAAATACAAAAAACCTATACCGTATAGGCAGCTATAAAAGGATCAACTTGAAAAATGTGAAACAATCCAAACGAGAAAACAGCCTAATTTATAAAAACAAAATTTACGAAAAAAACAATTTTCAGAAATTAGTCAACAACAATCACTGAATTATGGGCTCTCGACTCGGGATATGCACATAAAAAGGGTGATGGTGTTAAAAATAATTGTGAGCGCTTAACCCTCCCGCTAACCTGGGACTCTATTGTCAAATTGTTCATGTGCTTGTAGCAAAAGTTTAATGTTTTCTTATCATAGCAAGTATGAAAACGCCTATAAGTCGCATTCGGTTTGTCATATTTGATGACAAAAGATGACTTGATTGTGAATACGACAATTGGAACATATTCATGGTTATTTTTAACGGAAATGTTTCTATATGGTCTACCGAATCATGATAGCGTCCTTAATAGTCAAAAAGATTGTTTCAACTTTACCATTTAAAACCCTTGATACAATAGCTTCATTGTAAGCAGTACATAAACAAGTTAGCAACTTGTTTGTTTTATTTTCAAAGACCTATTAATATAAGATCTAGAATTGAATGCTGTATTTTGAACATTTATTCGAGAAAAAAGCAAGTGACGATCACACTATTACATTTGTGTACTCATTTCACATCTATCGGTCTGTTCAATTTCGGCATGCTTACGTTTACCGTAATCTGGTTTTTGCAGTTTGCAATAAAGAATTCATTTATTCTAAAAAATCGTTACAAGACAAATATCTTTTACTGTTTGATATATTAAGCAAATGTCTCCACCACAAGAGAACACATTTCAGTGGTAGAGGCATATGCTCATATCTAAAACTTATATTCACGCCATAGATTTGTGAGGTTTTTTACACATGTCTGTACATTGTATGGTGTTTCGTATTTCCAATAGATAATCTAACTGCTTTCCATACGATAAACTCTGCAAACTTCCAAACCATACAATTATTTTTCTATCTGTCATTGTTCTGTGAATGAAAATAATACGATGAAAATTCCTTACAACTAAATACATTTATTGTATATTTGGAATTCGAAAATCAACCAACACATTCAAAAGAAATTTTGGAAAAATATTTTATTTAATGATAAAGTAAATATTTTTTTTTTAAATCATTCGAGAATTTTTATTTTTTTGACTGATGGAGTAACACTTAGCGTTAAATATTCCACTTTCATGATTATAACTGTTCACTTTTAAAAGTAATAATCATATATGAAATAGAAAATAACAGAAAAATTTAGTCACCTGGACATGCAGATAGTGTACAGGAGATGTTATCATATATTTCTCCTTGACAATAAGCTCCACTGTTTGCTGGGGCAGGATTTTTACAATATCGTGTCCTACTTTGTAGTCTAGTTCCACATGTAACAGGACAAGTTCCCACAGAAAACCATGACTTCCATCCTCCATCAACTTAAAATACAGTGTAAGTGAAATATTTCAATGAGCCAGTCTGTATTTACTTTTAATAATTTAATTTTACCATTTTGAATACAATCGCAGAGATTCGGTATTGTGTTGAGTAATTATCATTTTAAATTTCTTTCAATTTTGAAATCCAAAAAATTTCTTGACTAATGGAAAACGTTTCAAAGAGAGAAATATCAAGCGACATTATCATCTTCGTTAAAGATAATGATAAGACTCCTTATGTTCCAAACAACATAAGATGTATATACACTACAAACATCTGCCTTCAATTATTCTAAATTATCCTAGTATTATTTAAGGAAATTATTCTTATATTTAAAAGAAAAATAATACATTAAGATAAAATATATAGATTCTACAACTGCATCGAGAAAGTTAAAATTTTAAATTTAATACCTCCGTGTTTTAATTTGAAAATTTAACTGCTTCGATTGGAGAAATATAGTATTACGCTCGCCGAGCGTTTATAGTATTTAAAATGTAACTCTTAAGAGTGGAGAAATATCGGACTCGACCACACTAACGATTTTAAGACGATATGCAAACTCATTTTTTTTTTCAAATGATCTGCAAAAATAATCAGCTGGTCATGAAATGAATAAATCGGCTTATTATTAGAGAAATCATAATATGAAATAGATATAGGAAGATCATGTTACCCGGACATGCAGATAGTGAACAGAGGGTGTAATCATTGTCGTTTCCTTGGCAATATGCTCCACAATTTGTTGGTGAAGGAATATTACAAAATCGAATCTTTTTCTGTATACCAGTTCCGCATGATCCTGTACAAGGTGCTGAAGTATCCCAGGATGACCAACCTCCGTCAACTAAAAGTATATATAAATCAATTTGAAGTACCAAATGCAAATTTCCTACAATTATTTAATGTTTAATTTGATCTTAACACAACGTTAGGTAACGGTTAGATTTTAACCTTAAATTGCAGACATGAATTTGACCAACCAAGGCGTCTTTTCAAACGTGATGTTCTGATATATCTGAATTGACCCATATGGTACTATCAGATACCAAACAAAGTTAAATGTAAAGGTACCATTCGGTCAAAGAAATATTTTCTGATTTTTTCCCGTAATCGTAGTTAGTTGTGTAAAACAAACGACTGCTAGCGTTCTTCTTATCATTGCACCCTATATACACTATGCAACCTGTACACAATCATATTAAAAAATATCAAATGTATATTGATTACTAATTACAATTAAACACATCTCTCTCTCTCTCTCTTTCTCTCGCGCTCCCAAGATACGTCAATTATATAAACTGACAATTTAGAGGAAAAGAGGACCCAATGCATCTGTGCATAACGTTTTTGAAATTAACTGGTATTCCGTTGGGATTAGCTGTTAAGTTTTATAGCAGATTTTTCCTTTATTGAAATTACACATCTTTTGGAAAAATATAGGCTTTAACGAAACACCACTTGAAGGGTGGTTTTTGGTATTTATACCTTTAAATGTTTAGATGATATAACAAACACTCCATCCTACCAACAGTAAACCTCTGCAAAAATAAAACGTCCGTTTGGCTGTATGAGATGTATGAATACGCAGCCACGTCCTGTCTGATTGCGGACTGAAGTAGATACCACGTTGCTTGTTTGTTTAAAATCATTGCAACACCTCTTTGAGAGGTCATCAGGTGCCTGTCACATTGCTACATTCATTTTCAGTGGAAAACTCCCAGCTTTTCCCACTCAAATCAATTTCAACGCGGTTGATCGACCCTCGGATAACTATCATCCATAATGACAACAAACTGTAATGTTCGACATTTATGACAGTCGCATTAAAAGTAAAAATTTTTTTTTTGGTTTATTAGTACTCATCAAATAATGCGCATTCAAAATATATAATGAAATAACGGAAACTCACCTTATCGTCTACAGTACACTGCTCTGTTTTCACGGTATCGCCTAAACATGACCCCGAACAAATGCGTGTTCTCTGACGCTGATCAGTGCCACATGCAACATTGCAATCACTCCATGCTGTCCAGGTAGACCAATCTGTGATTTCAGACAACATTTAAAGAGACACTTTATCATAAACCGATATTAACTGTTAATATGAGGATTATGAACCTGTTTTCAAACCACATGGAATCGTAGCGCTCGTACAATCAATGTTTTTTTTTCATAATAAGTTGACCGCATATTAGAGCGTCAATACCAATAATTTACTAGCAATGAAAAGCGTAGTTGTTTTTAAGGAAAATGTAAGTGACCGACTCCTTTTTAGATCGTACCAACATCGTTAGTAACGTAGTTGCGTATTACGCACAGGCTTATATTGGCTTGTTATCCTCTAGACGCTACATTTATGTGTTATCAATATAATTGTTTTTAAAAATTATCAATGTATATCAACCTAAAATTGAGTCGAATGATACCAAATGGACATTCAAATTTATAAGTTTAAAATAAACTGACAACGCTATAGCTA